AGCTGCCAGACGAAGGGAACAGCTAAAGAACAGGGGTCGACTTGGGAGTTAGAAGGGACATTAGACCCGTGATGGCAAACTTGTGGCCCGCGGAGCCATTTGTTAGGGCATGCGAGGCATTGCCCTGTCAGCTCTAGTGTGCATGCGTGTGCTGGTCAGCTGACTCTGGCCTTCTTTGAAGGCAGTTTTTCGCCCTCTGAAGGCTTCACTGAAGCCTCTGGAGGGCGAAAACTTGCCCTACGAGCAAACTGGAAGTCCGTTCTCAAAGTTCTGGTTTGCCCAGAGGGCCAGTTTTTCACGCTCCGGGGGCTTCAGGGAGGGGGCGGCTGTTTTAACCCTCCCCAGGCTCCTATAAAGCCTCTGGAGCAGTGTTTCTCAACCTTGGCCACTTGAAGATGTCTGGACTTCAATTCCCAGAATTCCCCAGCCAGCGAATGCTGGCTGGGGAATTCTGGGAGTTGAAGTCCAGACATCTTCAAGTGGCCAAGGTTGAGAAACACTGTTCTAGAATGATCAAAAAGGTGTTTTCTACAGAAACAATGTGGTAATAAAATAAGCTTCCGCAGATGGGACCAGTGAGAGAGGCAAGTGTATGAAATTGGATTCCTTGGGATTTAAAGAATAAAATGGTGAATTTAAGATTTGACCTTCCAAAGGGGAGATTTTGTTTCACAGCGGGAACACTGGGCCGAAATAACATGCCACAACCAGTGCCACAACCTTTCTGAACCAAGTGAGTAATTCTGGCTGTCATAGGGGGGCTTAAGTAATTTGATTTTTGTGAATTCAATTATGAAGCCTCTCAATCTGTTCCCTGGATTTGCTTGTAGACTAGGACTTAAAATTATATGTGATCTTTCTCCAATGGTCCACTGTGGAGCTTAATTTAAAAGAGAGGAGGAGAAAGATGGAACCTCAGAGGCGTATTTTGAGAGAAAAGTCTCTTTCAGTGAGAATAATGAAAATTTCACTTTTCTCCCAAATCCCATTCTCAGATTAGCAGAAATCTAGCCAAAAAATGACACAAGTTCTAAAGAGACTGTGCTGCCTATTCACTCATCATCACTATTCTCTGCTGAAAATTGGCTTTAAGACCCATCAGAAGGGAATCAACCATTACTTTACCTTACAAGTTCCTCCATTCTGACACTGTCCCACACAGTCGTCAATATCTGTAATTAAAAGAAGAAAAAGGAAAAACACAAGCTGAGTGGGAAGGCAACACAGCAACTGAAATCCAAGATTGAAAAGAAAAGGAAAAAAAAATCAGGGGGCTCTGTAGCTCTAGCTAGATAAACTCTGTGAAGTTTCCTGCTTGCTTTCCTTGAGATAACGTTATTGTAAATGGGTGGGAACCTTCAGCAATTCTTCCAGTAGAGTTAAACTGAAACTTCACATCATTGTTTCAAGGCACCTTATCAGAACCTAGCCATATTGTGGACTAATGGGTCTGATAAAATTGCTTCTTATTCATGCCAGATTGAATACTCCCTTTCTAAAAACATCAGTGACTCTTGCCGCCCCCCCCCCAACCTTCCTCCTGGCTGAATTATGACAAAATTCCACCAACTCCAAGCTTGGTGCCGATTGGAACCTTTTGCCGTTCGACTCCCCCC